AAAAAAAAAAAAAGTCCCTGTCTCCATTTTTCTGATAGAAAGGGATCTCTGGGTGCTAAGGCTTCTACTTTTCACCTGCTCTGGGAATGTTGACATTCTAAAAGAAGACTCTAGAGAAACAATACCTTGATCCAAAGGAATGTATCTGTAGTATTTAAGATCCTATGGCAAGTATGAAAAGTAGAAGCCTTAGCACCCAGACTAGGTCCCCTTTACCAGCTTGGTGTTGGCACTATGGGCTCAGGATTAAGTCTGCTTGGAGGAATTGCCCTTAGCTGCCTGGTGACACATCCTTCTCTACAACTTAAAACCAGTGACTGGCAGATCTGGGATAAAAAGGTGAGTCTCTTGCCTCAAGGAAGAGCCAATTCAATGTAATTTATGCTTCACAGCTCACAGGGATATAAAATCAAAGCTAGCCAGAGAGAACATATCCTTTCTCAGGTCTCTCCTCTGCTTCCTCTTTCTATTTCCCTTTCTCCATAAAGAACACTCTGCATAAGTCATAGGCATCGATCCCTTCCAGGGAAGCCAGCCCAAGACTCACAACCAGTGTAACTGATCATGGTAGTCAGTCATTCTAGTCACAGTGAACAGCAGCTGTTCACTTATGGCTGAGAGTCTGGAGGCTTTGGTGAAATTTAGAAGGCTCTGCAATGCAAGGAGACTCCTCAAAGAGTTAAAAGTATAAAGTCTATACAACCCAGTGATCTCACTTCTGGGTATTTACCTGACAGATACAAAAACTCTAATGAAAGGAGATATATGCCCACACATGTTCTCTGCAAATTTATTTATAACAGCCAAGATCTGGAAACAACTTCAGTGCACATTGAGAGATAATTGGATAAATAAATGATATATATACACAATATAATACTGGTTCAGCCACATATATTATATGCATATAACATATATGTATAAAAGAAATCCTGCTATTTTCAACAGTAAGGATGATATTGAGGGCATTAGGCTTAATGCCTAATGAAATAAGTTAGATAGAGAAAAATAAACACTATGTTTTATTCATATGTGGTACATAGAAAAACAAATAAATAAATAAACTCAATAAAACATTTAGACGGTACGACCAAATAATTGGTCTTACAAAAGGGAAAGGGGAAAATGTGTGGCTACATCAGGTAAAAGGGATCCACTGTATGGCAAAGAATGGGGTGGACTTCTAGTCAAACTAGAGGACATGTGTAAAGTACCTAATTATCACAATAGACGTTCAATAATATTTCTGTCGCTATGGCCTTTGGAAGCAGAAAGCAGAGAGGGAGAGGCGTGGTTGCAGGTGGGAAGGAAATGAAGCAGCCTTGAGTCTGGACTCTGGTGCACAGAGGAGTGTGGCGCTGGGCCGGATGGTTGTTGTGAGAGGTTGCTAGAACACTGACAAGAAGGGGAGAGGAAAAGCTTTCATTTCTCCCCTACTCTTCATTTTGCCTCAATCTGGCCCTGCATCTCTGAATTCTTGGTTAATCTATTTCCTAACTCTGATAAAATCTTCTGCTCTGAGCCTCTGACCTAATTCCCAGCTTACTAAACTGAGATTCTGAGATGGTCAAAATGCTGAAAGGATGTCTGAGGATGTATTTCTAGAGTTTCCATATTTGAACATGAGCAAAGGGGCATGTCCCATGGAGAAAAAGCTGTTTTGTTTTGTTTTGTTTTTTTTTAATTATCTGCCTTTGTGTCTGTATCACCCAAAAGGCTCAGCATATCCTGTGGGCAAGGCCTGACTCTGCCACTGCTGTGGTCCCAGGTCTGGGGCAGAGTTGATGTTCCCTACGTGCTTGTGATGAACTGACTGTGCCTTCCCCAATTCAAAACAAAATTCATAAGGAGAAATACTAACCTCTATTACCAGAGAACTGGGCAATATTTGAAGATAGAATCTTTAAGCTGATTAAGCTACATTGAAGCTATTAGAGTGGGTCCCATTCTGACTAGTGAGCACATAGGAGGAGGATATTGGCCACAGAGACACCTGGGTGTGCTTGCCTAGTGAAAAGGTGACATGAGGTCACAGAGAGAAGGTCCTCTGAAAGTCGAGAAGGACCTCAGGAGATATCAAATCTGACGACACCTTATTCTTGGATTCTAGCCTTAGGAACTGTGAGACAACACACAGTTTGTGGCAATTCTTTATGGCAGCTCTAGCAAACTGTTAACAGAGTCCTTGTGAAAATGGTCTTTCAAAGAGCTGTGTGTCACACCGTCTCTGACCTGTGCCTTACATGTCTGTAATTGTAGTGCTCTAATTCACAGGGCAATTGCTAACAGCACTTCCAATATAGAGTGTTATGGAAAAAAATATTCTTTAGTTCAGTGCCTACTCTGAATACCTCACAGGCATTGTTTCTTGTCCTTGAGTAAATTGAACAAGGTAACTATTTTTACTTCCACCTCTAGCTGAGACAACCAGAGTGCAGGGAGAATATGTCATATGCCCAGGTAGTAGGATCTGACTTCTAAACCAAAGCCAAGTCTTCAGCAACCACTAATGAAGCTCATCAAGAATCATTACAAGGCTCATGCCTGGCTTTAGAATGAGAGACGGCAGGTAGACAACAGAGATCCACTTGACTCAACAACTCATTGAAAGTGCCATAAGCTCTGCCTCAGTGTCAGGCACATGAGG